TTAAAAAACTAACAAAATGTTCTGCATTTCTAATGTTACCAGGCACTACCTCTATAAAAAATATGTATATATTAAATTCATAATTATTACAGATATATCTAAAATTAAAAATTTACCTTGCAAAACTTCATTTGGTAAAACTGGATTAGCTAAGATAATATCAGTTTCTCTTGCAACATGTGCATCTTTTAATCCTTCTACTAATCTTTCATATTCTTCTTTTAATTTATTTACATCATCTTCTCTCATCCTAAATTATAAATATTTTTAAAGATATATATATAATTATTAGTATAAAATTTAAAACATAACTTACTCAGCTACTGTTTTTTCAAGAAGTTGTATATTGGCTGAACTTTTCTCTAAAGTTCTTCTATTAATTTTTACACTCATTGAATCAATGCATACATTATCTAAAATAAATATAAAAATATTTAAACTTTCTTAAACTTTACTATATAATTAATATAATAATTGTACTGTACCTATATTATGAGCTTCATCAAATATTACTACAGAATTTTTGCTTAATTCTCTAGATACAGTTTCTGCAATTTTGGGATCTAATAAATAATGATAACTATATACTACAATCTGAGCATGTAAAATCTAAAATCATAAGAAAGAATTAATACTTTATATTACTTCAAAATATAAAATTTGTTTCTTAATGTGCTTACTGTAAACCTTGCAAGAAAATAAGGACACCAATTGCGATCTTTTCCATATTCTTTTAAATCATCAATAGAATATATGCCTGATGGCATAATTTGTTCTTTGCCTTCCATGTCAAATCCTTCATAAAAATTACAAATTGGTGTGGAATCGTCATAATTATGTCTCTCACGAACATATGATGCTGTGAGAGAATGACAACGTCCGTCAACAATTTTGCCTTCACGTTCTCTACTTACCTAAGTTAAATTATTATTAATATATTTATACTTATATATAATTATTAAAAATTATAAAATAAAAATTATTTACCTCTGGATGAATACACATATTTTTTCGTGAACTAAGAACTAAACCAACAATTTTGGGTTTATTTTCAGTTTCCTTTTCATAATAATCCATAAGTTTTTTTAATTCTTCTATGACTTTTTCTATTTCTGGTACAGTACGAGAACAATAAATTAATTTTGTTACATCTAATGGATTTTCTAACATATATGCTACAATCAAAGACAAGAGAGTTATGGTTTTGCCAGTGCCTGAAGGCATTTCCAATAAACAATGTCCCTAAAATAATAAATAAAAGATAAATATCACGTAAAAAATAATTATTATTCAAAACCATATAAAATAATTACTTTAGCATCCAAGCCTCGTTTGAGTTCAAGCATATATGCATACTGTTCTGGATAAATATAATCGTAAGGAAAATATACAAGTAAACCGTCAACGCTGATTCTGTAAATATAAACATGTAATTAAAATTTTTGTTTTAGAGAATTAAGAAATTATATATTTAACTTTACTTCATATTTTTATATTTTTTTTGTTATATAAATAACAGTTTTATACACAATAGTATCATTTATTTGTTAGTATAAAAACCATGAGGTTTTAAACAAAAAACAGGTTAAATATATAATGTTATTTGAATATACAATAGCGCGGAAAAAACGAATGCATTAGCACAAACTAGTTATAGAATAGACCTATCATCCAAAACATTTTTGTTATATAGTTTTTTATTATCATTTTCGTGTCAAACGTGACATTATCGATTCAGAATAAAATAAAATAATAGCGCTACTATTACGAAAAAAATTGTAATTAAATGTCGTTATTATCACAGAATGGAATTAGACAACAGCGCTACTGAAACAAAAAAATTATAATTAAATTTTAATTTTTTTCATTGTTGAAATATTTATAATAAGAATCTCTAATCTTAGAAATATTGTAAAATTAAGAATGTAGTATATATAATATATTTTTTAGTTTTTAAAAATAAAATAATAAAAATATATTTTGTTGATATTTCTTATTTCATTTATAATTATGCGCTAAGAAAAAACTAAAAAAATCATTGATTTTTTTTTACGCAATCGATATTTTAGATCATAAAATACAAATTCCCTTAAATGTTAGATTTATTCTATGATTCATCTGCGTTTACATACTTTATAGTCAGCAGACTATATATCTTATATCTGTAAGGAATATTTGTTTAAACAATTTAAAAATTTTTAGCAAATTTTAAAGATGTTAAATATAATATAATTAATTTATTTTGATATAATATCATATTTTTAATTTATACATGAAGTTTACATAAATTTTTTCATTATTCTAAAAATGATCAATATTTGAAATAATAATCATATCTCATATTTAATTTTAAATTTTAATAAATAATTTTTGAAATTTTAATATTATTATTACTAAATTATTTATTTATAAAAGATTTTTATTTTTAATATTTTTGCAATATTAATCGATTTTTATATCGATTATATTATATTCGATATATTCGTTATAATTCGATATAATTAAACCGGAAGATGTTTGGAACTGTCTCTTTTCCGCGACGATTTAGCGTCCGTAATGTAACACGTGTATGAAATATTAGAGATTGAAATACATTTAGAATAAAGATATTAGATATCTTTTTTTAGTTTTAAAATGGGAAAACCAGGTAAATTTCAAAATAATATTCACATTGATATATTCTTATATTTAATTTTTTACAAAAAATTATTTTAATTGTTTAACATGATTTCTATGTGTGCTCATCTAACATTTCAATTAATTTATGTATTTTATATTCGTACAATTACATTATTTATTTTATAAAGTATGAGTAACTATTTAAACAAATATATTCAATGATTTTTTATTTAAAGATATAGTTCATTCAGTCAAGTAAATTATAATTTTTGTCTATATGATAGTATAACATTGTTATATATTAATTGAATTAGTCATCTAAATTTTACTTTTAGATTCATTTCGTTTGAAAAAGTTAAACATATTGAGAAAATGAAATTAATAAAAAAAATAAAAGATTATTTTATGGATTCTTGATTTAATATTTTTAATATTTAATATTTATTACAAAATTAATTTTATTATAGGATTTTCACCAGGTGGATTTAGAGGTAAGGGAGGTGGTCGAGGAGGAGGTAGTGGGCGTGGTGGAGGAAGAGGTGGAAGTGGAGGTGGTCGAGGTAGTGGTAGAGGAGGAGGTGGTGGAAGAGGTGGAAATACTCCACGAGGACGTGGAGGTAAAGGAGGAAGAGGACGTGGTGGAGGTGGTTTTAAAGGTGGAAAAACTGTTGTCATTGAACCACATCGTCATGAAGGAGTTTTTATAGCTAGAGGAAAAGAAGATGCATTAGTTACTTTAAATTTGGTACCAGGTTCAGAAGTATATGGTGAAAAAAGAATAAGTGTGGAGGTAAATAAGTAAATAAGTAATGTAAATTATATTATTAATTTATAAAAGATGATAAACAATGACAAATAATTAACAATTTGGATTTTATAGGGTGAAAATGGTGAAAAAATTGAATATAGAGTTTGGAATCCTTTTAGATCAAAGTTAGCTGCTGCTATACTTGGAGGAGTAGATCAAATTCATATGCCTCCTGGAAGCAAAGTTTTATATTTAGGTGCTGCATCTGGAACTACAGTGTCGCATGTAGCAGATGTTGTTGGACCAGTAAGTTCATATAAATGATCTTTTATGTTGAATATTTATATATATAAATTATAATGCATACATTAGAGCCAAATTAATATATTATAGTTAATTTGGTGTCGACGTTATGCTAAAAAAATTAAATTCTCGTTTTTTTAATTGAGTAAAATATATTATATTTTACTCTAAAAAAACATGTATACAAAATTAACATTTTACTAAATTTAAATTTTAATTAGCTTATATATCTATATTATAGTTATAGATTATGTTCATACATTATTATAAATTTATTTTAGGAAGGACTAGTATATGCTGTAGAATTTTCTCATAGATCAGGCAGAGATCTTATAAATGTTGCTAAGAAACGAACAAATATTATTCCTATAATTGAAGATGCAAGACATCCTCACAAATATAGAATGCTTGTTGGAATGGTAGATACAATATTTGCTGATGTAGCACAACCTGATCAAGCCAGAATAGTAGCTCTAAATGCTCAATATTTCTTAAAAAATGGAGGTCATTTTGTTATTTCTATTAAAGCAAGTATATTGGTCATTTTAAAAAGAAAATATATATTTTATTGTATTTTTTTTTTTAATTTAAATTATTTATATATTTAAGTTCATATAATGATTAATTTGATTTAGGCGAGCTGCATAGATTCTACAGCTCAACCTGAAGCAGTATTTGCATCGGAAGTAAAAAAATTAATTGCAGACAAATTGAAACCACAAGAACAAATCACATTGGAACCATATGAAAGAGATCATGCTGTTGTAGTTGGAGTTATAGGCCGCCACCTAAAAAAGCTACCTAAAATTATGTGTATATATATATATATATATATATTATATATATAATATATATATATATTTATATATGTTTTATCTATTTACTAAGAATGCATCATATGATTATGATCCTTAGAACTGATCTTTATATAATAAGTTTTAATTAAAAAATGAAAAAATAGGAATTATTTGTAATATAATGTAAAGTAATTATACAGATAATTAGAGTATTTTCTACAAAAAGAATTAATTTCATTATTGTACCTGTACAGTTTGTATGTAGAGAGACGTACATGTACGATTAATTAATATAAAATTTATATTTTAAATATCATATACGATTGATTCATTTATACTTTCATACAAATAAAAAAATTTGATAAAATATATGATATATTTAATTGTGTATATAATATATATATATATATATTTTTGTACTATATCAAATTGTATTATAAAATCTTAAAAGACATAGTAGAATATTTTTAGAATTGCAAAAACAAGTGAAAAATGAAGTAATAACATTTATACATTTTTTTATTTAACTAAATCTATTAAAATTAAATTTCAAAATTTTCATGTAAAAATTAACTTTAATTATAATCATTTTATTATGTTACATATGAACTAAGTAAAAATGCCACGTCCACTCCTAAAAGATACAATCAAGAGCGGTAAGTTAAATTAATTTTTTTGACAGTATAACGCATAATTAACCATAATTAATAATAGAAAATTAATTCTAGAATATGTTATCGATGAAAATCGTAGACCATCGAATAAAACAATTAAATTTAAAAAATCCTTAACTGCAGCAAGTCGTAAATTTAATTTAACTGTGAAAAATCGAGATCGTTTAATAGGAGGAGCAGATGCTCCTGAGGAACAAAAAGACATAATGAAACTGCCAGAAGAAACAGTGGAAGAAAAAACTCGTACAGCTGGACCATGCTGTACTTGTTTGGCGCAAGTACCAGGATCAACCGGGTATAATTTTTTCCTAATGATATTTTATAGGAGGATTGATTTATATTGAAGAAATTGAAGAATATTAAAAAAAAAAGAACAATTAAAATTAAAATTCGTTTTAACATTAAAAAAAATCTCGTTTGTATAAAATATTGTTTTACAAATACAGAGATAAGAAGGTGGATGAAATTATTGATTATGTGCATCAAAATTTACAAGAAGCGAGTAAAGCATTGGCTACCTTAGGCGAAAATTTTGAGCACGATTCAAAGGTTGAGCCCTGTACGCAAGTAAAACCGTCATGAAATTGGGAAGACGAGGGTACAATAAATGAAATCGTTTTATAAAGTTGAATATAATTAAATAAAAATAAATAAATGAATCTGTTCGAAACTCCCAATTTCGTAAAACGAATAAATTCATAATGTTTTCTTCAAAATAAATTTAATTTTATAAAAAATATAAATAAGCATAAAATAATAAATGCAAACTGAATTTATTTTTTATAAAAGTTGGTGTTCGTCGATATACTTGGTCGAATACAACAATGGAGCGGTTTGGTACAAAACAAATTGGATATTTGTAATAATGAAATCGAAACATTGCGTGAAGAATTAATAGCACGAGCTTGTGAAATCGAAAATTTAAAGAATTTATTGGGAGAATGTGAGGCAAGTTTCATTGATTAAAATTGTTATTTTACTGCAATTTTTAAGATATTCTTTTATAGAATTTTATATTATTCTTTTATAGAAAGAACGTGAAGCTGCTCTAATTCAAGCGGCTAAAGCACAAAAAGAAGCAATTGAAATTGGAGAACGTTTTGAAAATTATAAAAAACAAGAAGAAGAAAGAAGAAAAATGATTTCAGAAATAACTCCAAAAACTCCAGAAATAAAAGAAGTAAAAGAACCAATAGAAATAAAAGAACCAAAAGAAATAAAAGAACCAAAAGAAGTAAAAGAACCAAAAGAAATAAAAGAAGTAAAAGAATTAAAAGAACCAAAAGAAATAAAAGAAATAAAAAAACCAAAAGAAATAAAAGAAGGAAACGAGCTTGAAAAAGAAAAGATAGAAATTATTTGCACAGATGCAGCTATTCAATCAATTTTGAAAGACAAAGAAAAAAGACGAGAAATTGAAGTAAATTAAAGATTTTTTTATTTTTTATTGTAAATATAAGTAAAATATATTAAAATAACAATTTGTTTAAATAGCTTGAAGGTGAAATAGCAAGACTCCGCAAAGAAAATGAACGTATTATAAAAGAACGTGTTGAATATGAGAGTGCGATACAACGAGCATTACTTCGAGGTGTTTCATCTTTGAATGTTGAAGCATTGAAAGTTTTACGTTGTCCACCAATTCCATGTTGTACTCCTTGCGCACCTTGTCCTGCTTCTGCTATGTAAGGCTTTTAATTTCTTTTAATCAAACTATTAATCACAATAAAGAATTAAAAAAAAATCAATTTTAAAGATTAATTTAAAGAAATTAATAAAAAAAAAAGTTCAACAATAATATTTTATATATTTTACTTATAATACTTAAAGTATATTATGTTAACTATAATATGTAATATAATAACTATAATATTTCTTGAATGTTTGTCATTATGATCCTTTCACTTTGAATAAAAAAAATAGCATTTATTGATCTATATCTAAACAAGGTCAATCCTGATTCATTAAAGTTTCACTCTCAGAGAATCGGTTGTACCATGTGCCAAGAAAAACACTAGGATCGCTAAAAACTGCGGCACTAAAAATATCGATAACGGAAGTGCCGTTCGTGAAAATTGCAAAATTATGAAACAACCTTGCGCCAGTCCTTGTTGTTCTGCTGGAAAAACTCGGCAACCTGCAATGAACAATAGTACAATATTTCTTCTTCATCAGGGAGATATAGAAAATATTTGTGGATCAAATGATGTTTCAGAGCCAATTTGCGGTTCTCCAGTTATGAAAAAAATTGAAATACCTCCGTGTCCTAAATTTACTATATGATAAGATTTCTTTTTCTATCATTAAAATTAGCTATTTAATTTCGTTAATATTAATCCGCAATTTTATGCATACATTGCAAATAAATTATTTATATTGTATTGTTTTTTAAATATAATATGATGATAATATATAATATAAAAAGATAAATTCATTCAAAATATGCATTTATGAATTAAATTATTATGATAAAATTACGTATAGCGAATATTTTGTTAATAAAAAGTTACGAATTACTTAAATTGTATATTATAAATAGAAAATAATTGTATATTATGAATAGAAATGAAGAAAGAAAAAAAATATACATTAGAAAAAATTGTAAATACTTACTTATTTACTATTTATTATTTTAATGAATAGTAATAATTATGAAAATATCTATAATAAATTTCTATTCGTTTCTTAAAATTACAAAATATTTTTTCCTTTATGATGTGAAAGTAATAAAAAAAAACACAATGTTGAAAGTATAAATATAATTTTATATAACATTATCAGAAAAATATTATAAATATTAAACATTCATTCTCATAAATAACATTAAGATATTTTTCATTATTTTGATAATAGATTTGAAGTACATAAAATTTGTATAATATTATATCGAACATTATATATATATATATATATATATATATATATATTAAATATTAT